TTGGGCTGAGGGGGGGGGGTGGTCATGAGGAGAGGGAGATAGCTTCTCCACTGCTGACAGAGACTGCCAGAATGCTTGTTTCTGTTGATCAGGCAGCAGGCTCTACTCTCCTGACATCAGCAGTAAGAGCCATTAGCACTGCCCACTGCTTATTCATATGGAAATTGTGGGATTTGCATATTAAGGAGCCGCAAAGTGATTTGCATATGAATGTCCTATGCAAATCACACACAGAGATCTTTTTTTCGGAACTTGCCGATACTGAGTACCGGTGCCTTGATTATCAGGAAGTGGGGCGGGGGATCATGAACGCGGGGGATCAAAGAACACCGGCTTCACTTGCCAGGCTGCCTGGCTTCCTGATTGGCTAGGAAGCTTGCTTCACATGTTGCTAAGCAGCCTGGCCTATTTTTTGCGTTTTTTGCACACTTTAAAAACCACATTTTAGACCTGAAAATAACTTAAAACACCCAAACCTTATATATTTTCTGAAAGCAAAGACCCTGTAGAATTAAATGGTGGCAGTTGCAAATTTTTATGTCGTACGATATTAGCGCAACTCTGTATCAAACCAAAAAAGTAGTAAAAAAATGCACTTAATTTTAGTGCCCAAAAACACAGAATATAACAACCATTATTTTGAAAAATGTAAAAGATGAGGTTACGACGAGTAAGTAGATACCCAACATGCCCAGGTTAAAAATCGCATGCGTGCGAGAAACGGCGACAAAATACAGTACTCCAAATTGTCCAAAGGCAAGTTAACCCCTTAGTGACCAGTGACGCCCATAGTACGTCACTGGCACCGGGCCTGTTTAAACAGACTCCAGACGGACTGTTTACATTTGTAAAGCTGACTGTCGGCTTGAAAGGGTTCTAAACCCCCCGGTTTCTTTTTGCCTATATCTACTGCTATCAAGCAGTAGATATAGGCAAAAACACGTTTTAACAGCGGTTTAAACTTACCTTGTTTTTGCTGCGCGCTCCCGTCCGAGAAAACGAAACTGCTCCAGCGGCCGCAAAGCATCTTGGGCGGGCGCATGCGCAGTTCGGATTCACAGCCGGGAGACAAGCAGACAGGCATGGTAAGTCTATGGACGCGTGCGTCCGCATGCAGACACCGCTGGATCGGAAGTGCCTGCAAGCAGAGAGGAGTCAGTGCTGGATCGGATAGCTGCCGCACCGCTGGAGGGACAGATGAAAACATCAGGAAAGAAGAGGAAGATCGGATTAAGAGACATCATTAAAGGTAAGTGCTGACATTAACATTGGGCGGAGGGAAAAAAAACCTATCCTTTAATGTCACTAACAATAGAAGCGATTCTAGCAACTCAGCTGTTGTCAGATGGCTTCTACAGGCCGGTAAACTGCCCCCCCCCCCCTTCCGACAACCCTATTATGTTCCCTAGGCTGCGCTGCCCCTCCTACAGGCCCGGGACTGACTTCTTGGGTGTTGGTGGGAAGTTGGGGAGGATAGCAGCGGAGGATAGCGGCGAACGTCCGTTCATCGATCTCCTCCCCGTTCTATGGGACCAGGAGCGACGCGTACTGCATCACTTCCGGACCCACAGCTGTCATTGCTGGGCTCCTGAAGCGATCTGCACTTCAATAGCTTATTTAGAGTGTGAAGGTGACACTAGGGGTCTTTTGGACCCCCAGTATCTCCTTAAAGAGTATCCTTCACTGCCAATATGTTAACACATGGGGGGGCTTGTAAGCCACATCTGGAGTACGCGGTCCAGTTTTGGTCGCCGGTACTGAGAAGGGATGTCCTTGAACTGGAGAGAGTCCAGCGGAGGGCAACAAAACTAATTAGGGGAATGGAGGACCATAGCTATGAGACAAGGCTTCTGACCTTAAACATGTTTACGCTGGAATTAAGGAGATTAAGGGGGATATGATTTTCATGTACAAGATGTTCAATGGTGGTAGCAACATTGGCAACAAACTGTTTTGAGATTAACTCCATTACAAAGACTAGAGGCCACCACCTAAAGTTGGTGGCGAAAAAATTCCAGCACAATAGGCGAAGAGGGTTCTTTACAGTAAGAGCGGTTAAGGTCTGGAACTCACTGCCATCGGCAGTGATTTCAGCCAAGAGTGTAGATTTGTTCAAGAAACGTTTGGACAATTTCTTGAGGGACCGTAATATCCAGGGATACCAGTATCCCTACGAATGAGATGATGCATGGACCTATATGGGTTGGACTTGATGGACGTATGTCTTTATTCAACCCCAAATACTATGTAACTATGTAATAGCAATTAAAGTAAAAATAATACAAATTATTTCACCCCGAGCATGCGCGCCATAACGTAAACACGCGTTGGGTGCGCCTGTGTATGAAAACGATGATCCTGATACACATGTTGCGTATCGCCACGCACATCAGAGGGAGAACAATAATTCTAGGGCCAATATTTATGCGCACCTCAAAACTGATGACCTGTAGGGGCTTTTAAAGCGTCTACTGACTTTTTGGGGTACTGAATTTTGTTGCCGTTTCATAGACGCACACAATTGTTAACCTGGGCATGTTGCGTATCGGTTTACTTGTTGTAACCTCATTTTATTTAAAAAATGGGTATTTTGTTGGGTTTTGGGGCACTAAATTTAACATTATTAAGTGCATTCTTCACTAAATTTGGGGGTTTGATAAGTTGCGCTAATATCGGGCAACATAAAAATTTGCAACTGCCACCATTTTTTTTTACAGGGTCTTGGCTTTCAGAAAATATATAACGTTTGGGGGTTTGAAGTAATTTTCAGGCCTAAAATGTGGATTATAACATGGGTGCAAAAAATGAAAAAAGGCCTGTCATGAAGGGGTTAAAGGCCCATACACATCATCAGTTTAGAGATATCTGTGAATATTGGCCCGATAATTATAGCTCTCACTCTGGCATACGCGGCGATACCAAACATGTGTATCGCGATCAACGTTTTCATAGGTAGGCGCACCCGACGCGTGTTTACGTTAATACACGTGCACTCGCAGGGGCGGGGGGACTTTAATTTTTTTCCATTTATTTTATTTGTTCTTATGTTTTTAAAAACGTTAGAAAAAAATAAATTTTTACTTACAAGTCCCCTATGTGATAGCACATTAGAGGCGATCGGTACTCATTTAGATGACACTAGGTATCTAAAGACCCCTGGTGTCACCTTTGCATTCCAAATAAGCTATTGGAACACAGATCCTGCTCCAATAGCTTATTGCCCTGCTTCTGCAGCTGAGCATTGACAGATAAGGGACCGGAAGTGATGCAATCAAAGTTGCTTCCCATTCCTTAGAGCGGGGAGGAGATCTGTGTTGGCTGGTCTCCTCTCTTCCTTCCCACCGACATACGACATGCTAGTCCCAGTCCCGGGCCCGTGGGAGGAGCAGTTGAGCCTGGGAAGCAAGGCGGGGGTGTCCTGCGGGAGTGCTAGGCTGGGAAAAGGGGGGGGTGCGCACTACACCGGCCCCTGGAAGAGATCTGGTAGCAGCTCAGCCACCAGAATCACTTCTACTGTAAAGCAGACAGTCGGCTTTACAAATGTGAACAGAGTCCTGGTGGCTGTTTGAAGGGGCTCGCTGCAAGCGACATACGAGATACGTCCATGGCAGCAAAAGGGTTAGAAATACCAAAACAACTTGAACCACATGGTGCCACGTTTTCAAACATTGCATTTGTGACCATAACAACAATCTGACATATAGCATTTATATTCATACCAAAACACACAGGGAACAAAAACATAAGCAACAAAAGCCAACACTTATATGTAAAATAATTTTAAACCCATCATGGCATGTTATGTTATATACTTTATTTCTGACCTATTTTTGGCCTTTGTAGGTTGTTCTCCTCTGGATCGTCTAAAAATGCTGGCATAAAATTGCTTAGTTCTGACTGGAGGCAGTGCACCAAATACCTAGGTATGAAAAGAGAAAACAACGAATATACTCCCATTAGCAGCAAGAAATACATTGGCCATGTGAAGTTTCTGCATTAAAACAAACGAAGTTCCACAAGATACCATTTCTACTTCCACCGATTGACTGATGGTTTGGCACATTGTTCCTGACATCTTAAAAAGACTGAAGCAAAACAACGTGACGGATGACTTTATTGGTTTTAATAGGGACACATTTTTCTTAAATTCTAGAAGTTTGTTTCCTGGAACTTTTATATAACAACAAATTATATTAAAGAGAACATTAATGTAAATGAAATGAGCCTAATTTGCCATAATGGTACCATCAGTTTCTGAAGCTGCATACTGCAAAAGGGCATTTATAAAGTTCAGTTTGCCTCTTCTTCAGATGATCTAATCTGGACTAGTTTATATAAACCAGGGGTCTCAAACTCAATTCACTCGGGGTCCACTCGACAAATTTTTTTTCTCCCATGGGGGCCGCTTGCCAAATTTCATACTTTAAAATAGAATGTAACTGTATCCGGTTTGGTACTACAGACACTAATATACACTCACAAAAAGGCCCCATTCATATCTGTAGGTTTAGGTGCAATTAGGGATTCTTGCATCAGAAACTTGCGTTTTCCTGCAGCAGAAATCCCTAATCTGGCGTTTACAAGCGGCCGCTGTCACCCATTGAAGTTAATGATCAGGTGACAGAAGTTACATGTAAACGCCTGCACACCGCATGTAATGATATGCGATATTACATGCGGTTAGAAAACACTCTCCCTGGATGCACAATCATTGCGTCCAGGGAGAGGAGGGAACCGCTGTCACAGCAGCATTGCCAAGCGGTGAGGAGAGAGAGAGAGACGCTCAGCCAGGTTCCGACAGCTGGCGGCCCTCTCTCACCGCTCGGCCATGCTGCTGTGACAGCGGCTCCCTCCTCAGCCGCCTTCAGCACTTGCTTCACTTTCCTTTGGATCCCCCTGCATACAGGCGGGGGAGCGCAGCGGGGATCCAGAGCAAAAGCTGCAGGCTGAGCTCAGTGCGTGGCCAAATAGCGGACGATCGGTACATATCAGCGTTATGTTCCAATCCTCGGTGGAGAGCAAATTCTGGAGCAATTAGCTGATCACTCCAGTGTTTGTAAATAACTGGGGACACATAGTAGTATGCAAGATCTAGTACTATGTGTCCCCAGCTATGAATGAACAGGAAGTGCTTTACATCCTGTTTCTCAATGGGGAGTAGCACTCTGCACAGAGGATTATCCCCATTCAGAAACTGGATAGTAAATATTTTCTTAATGAATGGAAAGCCACTGTACTTTCCATACTTTTAGAACAGATGCTGCAGAAAAAGAGATTGAGAACTTTGTGTCCTCAATTTCTTTTTCCAATTTAAAAAGGGAAATATCAGGGGGCTTTTTAGACCCCTGACATTTCCCCCAAAGCCTCCCAACAGTAAAAAAAAAATTAAAAATAAATAATTTAAAAAAACCATCCTGGAGGCGGGGCGCTGGGTGACGTCACAAGCCTGTTGGGGGGGCATGTTCTTTTTTTTCTTGCCCTGGGTGCAAAAGGAGCTAGCTACGGCTCTGCTCCTGCAGGGACAGGGGAGAGACAGCAGAGAAAGTGAGAGAAGAGACAGCAGAGAGAAGAGACAGCAGATAAAAACAGGGGAGTGAGCAAGAAGAGAGAGAAGAGACAGCCAAGATAGAGGGCCGGTTCACACCACAAAGTCTGGGGTCCAGAGTGTTTGGCCTCTAGAACGCACTGGAATGCAAGCCGGCCGGCTCCCTACGTTCAGTAGCGGGAGGGTTTTTTTAATTGAAGTCAATGGCACCGCAGCCACACCCCGCCCAAGTGCAATCGCCCGCACATGAGTGCCTGCACTCCAGTCCAGTGCGATCTGCAAAAAAAAAGTGCTTGCAGCATTTTTTAAATGCTCCGCCACGCCTCCTCCAGCCCCTGAATGCAGGTGTTTTTCGTTGGTAGTTCTAATTGAGCTCATCATTTGAAAAGTAGATCTCCAGGCGAAAAACTGTGGGCGCCCCTGCACTAAAGCATGGCTTGGATTATCCCACTTCTTACCTAAACACCAATGCTCTCTTTTTTTTTTTTCAATAAATAACATTTCAACACATTTGGTTGGATCTGTGAATCCTGCAAGAAATCCAGTAGTCACTTTACTTAATTTGCACTCTAGTCTGTGCTGCACTGATATATCAAGGAAAGTTATCAGCCCTGCCTAGTTCACCCGTGCAAGCTACAGAACATCTCCCCCATATATTATAGAATTGAGGAGAAAGCGATGTTTTCTGTAGTCAAAACCAGGAGTAAGAAGCCTAGAGTGACAACAATGTTCGTGCATAGATAGAATACAGCAAGTAAGCATTGCTACCTTAGGACAGGAAGTGTTTCTGAAAGCCTAGAAAAAGGAAAAAAATAATGCAGCCACCACTTCTGAGGACTTGTAAACTGCAATATATTTCATTTTTGTACTTGGGTATAGGTAAACTTTAAACATTCTGTAAGGAAATATGAAAGTTCTTACTTGAAAGCCATTTGGACTAAATGTGCCAAAACATCTTGAGCATCCAACGTGATACGGCTGAGATCCCGATCTTGTTTAATAAAATTGAGCAACTCTGATGCATTTGCCATCCAGAATGCAAGTGCTCCAGCGATGTTTTTTTGCTTCTGCACAAACGAGAAATCAGCATTATAATGTGATTTGCATTGTTATTTGATAATATACAAGATATACAAGCATAGACAGACCAGTAACATGATATGTACTATACACCAGTTAACAGATAAGAGCACTACAGAAGTATCTCTGATTCATGTTCATTTATTGTTAAATATATTTTGAGTAGTATTGTAAAAGTATATCCTCAGGTATTACAAAAAGTAAAAGAGGCCTTGCCTGGTAACTGATGCATAAGTGTGTCCAAGAAATATAATCCCAAGTACCACCTCCAATTGCTGTTAGTCGCCAGGACACAAATATCTCATACTGGTCTGTCGGAAATGTGAACCAAAAGAATGCTACGCCAGGTTAGATGAGATCCAAAGAATAGGAGCCATAGAGAACAACATGAGGGGTAAAAAAAGGAGGGGGGGGGGGGCTTCGCTTATTTTATTTCCACACTGGAGGTGCATCAAGCAGAGGATTATGGGATGCCAAAAAGTTGCACAGTCAAAAAGAATTTTAGTACAGCACAAGTCCAGTTGTTGAATGAGTGTTATGAACTTTTCAGCCCAGCCATTTAAAGAAGAGTTTTGAAAGCTGCGTGAGACCGAGCTAAGCTGGTGTAGCTGGGATTGTGTCTCATTGTCCTACCTGGTCACCCTGGTCTATTTCCTGGAGAATAACAGATGAGGAAATCAAGCAGAACAGAGAAAGAAACTTGTGAACAAATATGACAGACCAGATTTATAACAGCTATTAAACTTACAAGGAAAAATGTAACAGCAAAAAAAAAAAAAACATCAAAAACATACAAAGCTCTCAACCTAAGAACATAAACAAGAAGCTGCTAATATCTATAAATATCTGTGCACTGAATATCCAAGTTAGAGGCAGCACCATACAAAACTTATATTTTAGTTATACTTGATTCATTACAAGCGATCGCATGCTGACTTCTCATATTTCTTAAAATATTAGAAACCAGCAGCTGATTCAGTCAGCAGATGCCCAGCAAAAATAAAAGAAAGGTTTTAAGTGTAGACTGGAGTTTTGTGTACATGCCTACCGAAGAAACATGCTCAGAATTAAATCTTTTGTTGAAAAAAAAAAAAAATCAAACTGGAGGACACAAACAAGAGTCCTCCAGTCACCCTAGGCTCAGTATACCGCGAGCTGTAGCTCGCGGTATACGGAGACGCCGCAGCTGAAGCGGATCCCGAAGCCTGTGACAGTCTCATTGTCACTCAATCACTCACCTCATAGTTCTCCTTTAATGCAACAAATATATTATTATATATACATACACACACATATATACAAACACACACATATTTTAACTGTGCCTTTTTTGAGGTGCTATGTAGGCATTATGTAAATAGATTACAAAAAAATATTATCCCCTTAATTCCAACATACACACATTCACAAAAATGTTGAGGGTATATGTGGGTGTCTTCAAATACAATCAGCAGTATCTATTAAGAACCTCAGGAATTGACATTTTTTTAGAAAGCACTGGGCAATGAAGCACTGGTAATTCAAAGTGAACGTTAATAATCTGGAATGCAACCTGAACAGGAAAATACAGAGCCTTCATACTTAAATATGAATATGCCTAATTTTAAACTCATGAATCTATGGACCAGAATATATAAAAGCCAGTAATCATAAAAGGATTTCTGACACCTGTGCGGAGACATTTTACACATAACATGCTTATAATTTCATTATCTGTACAATGAGTCCTGAAAATTAGAACTGAGCTTTCCTGAAAGTTTCCATCTACTAAGTGGATAAAAGATAAGACTTAAAGTGACATTAAACCCTCAGATTTTTTTAACATAAACCAACACTGTAATGTGTGCCTTACTGTAATCCATGGTTGTTTCCCTTCTCTTTGCTGCTCTTCCTTTTAAATCCTTCTGTTTTCTCATGCTGGGGGAGAACATCCCTTTGCAGCTGAGTGCCTCTTCCTGTAGTGCTGGCTCAGGTTGTGAACCTACACACAGGCACCATGTATCCATTTCAGAGACAAGGCAGTCTGCTGCAAAACAGAAGTTCTGCCCAGCATGAGAAGAGAGAAGGATTTAAAAGGAAAAGCAGCAAAAAGAAGGGAAACAACCATGCATTACAGTAAGGCACACATTACAGTATTGTTTTATGTTAAAAAATCTGAGGGTTTAATGTCACTTTAAATCTATATTTTTATGCTTCTATCATGGCCATACAATACATAACTGTTCGATTAAACCATAACATACATGCTGACATGATCATTCAGCATGATCTGGGTTTACAATCATTAAACAAGTAAAGGAAAGCTGCAGGTAGTGTGAGATTTCTACATCATAAGTTACCTACCATGCCTAATATAAACTATTTCAGGTAACAGAATATTTAGAGAGAGAAAAAAAGATTGCTAAACACAGACCATGCCTATGTCGAGACTATACACATTAAATTAGTAACATATTCTGAACAAACAGCAAAAGTAAATTAAGAACCCTCATTTACCTCTGCAGTTATAGGAATTGTGTAGAAATTCAACTTCAAAGTTCACAACAGAGGTACTGAAATGTCAGTCTTTTCATTTTACTGCCTATTGCTGCAGAACCTTAGCAACCTGTTGGCCTTCTAATGTAAACACAAATTTAGTCGTTTTTAGTAGCTTACAAGCACTGTAAGCTACTAAAAACGACTAAATCCTGACTTTTGAGTTTCTGTGGCGCTCTTTGAGGATAAATTACTTCAAATTACATGCATCTAGAGAGGTCAGGGATCGCTTGTTCTACAGCTTTCTTACTGCTGGTTAAGAATATGTAAAAAAATGTCTATAGTCTTGGCACAGGTTTACTTTAATCTATTAACAACAGAAATGTATGCAAACCACAATATAATGTATGAGGAACAAACAAAAGTGACTGTTGTGGATTGCTTAACCATAATTAATTGAATACACAGTCTTCACTACAAGGAAATTAGTAGTAAATGCGTTTAGTCTATATATAACGCAATCAAACATTATATTTCTAGTTAGCCCTTGGAGAAAAAGGAATGACGACTGGTCCAGCCTGTAATTCTGTAAGCCATGTTATGCCTATCCTCATGAGTGAGGGATAGGAATACAATCTTATTTTTAAGTGTTTCTTGCACTCAGTTTTTACACCTGTAAATAAGAACATAAAATAATGGCTTTTTCAGCTAAATAAGCACAGGTAGCCAGGTAATTGGCATGTTCACAAAGGATCAGATGTAGCAATGATTGTATTTCTCAAGGCAGGTTCGCTTTATGGGTACTCACCAGCCCTAGATCTAGCCATAAACTGTATGTGCATATTTTTTTCCAGGCAGGATCTAAGATCCCAGAAGTAGTTTATCTTTTCAAGTCATCAAAGGTTTTTCAAAGTATTATATAGGTTCTATCGTTAACTTCGAACTGTTCTCTTTCTCAACACTACTTTATGAATAGATCATAATCATCAAACATGCAGGGATGTTCTTTAGCAGATACATCCAATTTAACCACACACTAGTACACCGTGTTTTATTTATGGAAGTGGATGCATGTTGAACATTTTTTTAAAATATATTTTTCTTTAAGAGGCTGGGTTCACTGAAAGGCAAAAGCGTTTTTGCTCACGTTTTTGATGCACGTTTTGAAGGTTTTTTTTTTTAGCAGATTGTAGCTTACTGATGTTAATGAGCAAATGCCCGACAAATGCGCACAAAAACACCTCAAACGCTCGTTTTTAAAATGTTTCTTAGTAAGTCTATGGGGCCAAAACTGTAATATTTCCCAAAAAACTAATGTACTTTTTCCCAGGGACAGGCATTTTGCCTATTGCAACAAAATGGTCAGATGTGAGCAGGGCTAAAGAAAGGAATATGATTTATTTTTATGGGCATATTTTTTTAGCGTTTTTTAGGGCAGAAAAAGCGCTACAAAACGCTCCGTGTTAACCAGGCCTAATGCTCAGAGCTACAAAAAAAATATTTTTATCAACTGTTAGCTAAATATAAAATAATACCTATGAATATCTCAAATTCACTACTGTCACCAAGTGGAACACTATGGTCCTTTTAAAAAGTTAAATATTGCTTTGCTGCAAAACAGATTTTTTACACAGCTAAATTTCCCCTAATTTCAGTGTTAAAATGAGAAGCTCCTGCTGTGCTCTTAAAACAAAAAATAATCTTGAAAACAGTGTAACTGAGTAACATGTACTCAATTATAACATTAAAACAATTCCAAATAAATAGAATTTTTAAACTATTATCAACTGTCCTATATATTTATGTATTTACAAACACACACACAAACAATATAATATATATACAGTATATGTAATGTGAAGGGCTGATAACACTGTTTACAGGAGGTTTCTTCCAAACAAAAAATATTCAAATCTTACTTTAAATGAACTAGAAAAGCTCACCTGTATCACACCTTCCATCATGCTCACCATCTTGTTCACAATGGCGATTACTTTGTGAGTTCGCTCAGTAGGACTGATGTCTGGTCTGTACTGACTGGACAATACATACCGGCAGGTCATGTATAACACATAGGTAGGAGACAGTTTGAAGTGCACAGTGGAACTATTCGTGTAATTGATGACGGCGGACAGGAAAGAGTCTTCCGCTGTAATAACACAAATTAAGATTGATTAAAATGGGTTTGGTAAATTATTGACGTGTCCCATCCTAAATATTAAAACTAGAAAACTTTTACACATACACACAGGACTTTTAGGTACCAAAATGATTTCTAAAAAAATCAATCATAAAAATTATTTTATTTTGAATGAAAATATTTTTTTTTTTTTTTGAAGAAAAATATTTTCTCAGCAGTTCTTCCACCATTGCCCATGCAAACTTCTCTACAACTCTAATGCCACATTCTCAATACTACCATCTATACCATGTTCGCTGGCAGCCCCTTCTCCATGATAAATTATCTGGCAACTCCCCCTCTACAAGTCCATACTACATTCTCTGGTAGCTATTCATCTGCCATCTTCATCAATTATAATCTTAAGTCTACAGCTGCCTATAGCTTAGTAAATTTCTAAAAAAATGTGTTCACTTCAAAAAACAAAACAGAAAACAAAGCATAAAACACATACAATAAAGGAGACTCTGTTACGATACCAAAACCCATGTCATCTCCCAATAACAATTCTCTAGGAATAAACCAAATAATTTACTTACAGTTTTCTCTAAACTCGATGCTTGCAGGTAATACATGCTCTGGTCCGTGAGCATCATGAGGCCTAAGAAATAAAAACATGTGATAAAAACATTTACTGAATGTAGAAGGTCAAATCTGCTGTTCAGTGACAAAGACCTTTCAGTAGAAACTGTCTGGAATTTAGAGAATTCATGGTCATAGCAATTTTTTAGGAATTTATGATCAGACTACGTCTAATGAGTTACTTGAGGTTTCATACTTCCTACACCGTGCACGGGAGTTACCTGCATATATTATTAATACAACTCACAGTACACTGCAGCTGCCATCTCAGGAGCTCAAGTAACAGTAAAAAAAAAACATATGGTAATGCCAAGGTCACACATTAAAGACGCAGAAGAAACATTTGTTGTAAGATACCTAATAATGATGTTTGAAAAGAAAATAGAATACTGTATACTTTTTTATGAGTAAAGCCACAGAACAATTAAGAGTCTTAATGGATTGAAACAATAGAAAAAAAAATATGATGTACTCAACTTCACATTTTAAAGCATTACTAAACAGATGGTGTTTTTTCCTTAATGCATTCTCTGCATTAAGTTAAAATATGTCCCCGTCTACCCCCCACTTACCTGTCAGCGCCGCTTCTCACCACCGCTGGTCCCCAAAATGATCCTCCGTCCTGAACTTCCTAGTAGTGGGGGAGGAAGTGGAGGTCAGAGGAGCAATAGGCTCCTTCTGCTGTCAACCTGTTTGGCGGAGAGGAAGGGTGTGGCCTGCTGCTGGGCTGTGTATGTCTAGGTCAAGCATGCACAGGTGCCTCCACAACAGCCACTTGGCGGCACCCGTGCAGGGGCGGGGGGGAAGAGCTATGTGAGGACCCACTAGACAAGAGGAACTGAGCATTTTTTTTTTTTTTATTCAATACGTTTTTATTGGTGTGAAAAAGTATAACAAAAGGCTCCACTGCAAGTGGCAGACTGGTAATTGCATATAGATAACAGCAATGTTGTGTACTGAGCTTGGGTTCATCAAGAAATACAGCAGGAGGTAGGAAGTACATGGGATATTGATAACAGTCATCGATTACAACCTGCCATTGCGTAGATGTGTATGCCAGTCTGTCTAGGAAGACCGGGCATAACCAGAACTAAAACAATATTAAGTAGAAGGGAAAGGAGAGAAGAAAAGGAGAGAATCAGAGGGAGGTACAGTAAGACCAGAGGGGGAAAGGAGGAAAAGGAAGGAAGGAGAGGAGGGGAGGTAGAGGTATGTTGGGGGAGCGTGCACGTCAGAGCATGTATTATCGAGAGGTTGATCCCAAAGTTAAGTGCCCATTAGAGACCTGTCGAAGTTAGGTGGAAGGAAGTTAGCGGCCCACGGCTCCCAGACTCTATTGAATTTGAAAAGACTACCAAGTAATTTAGCCGTCAGATTCTCGTTGATGATGACCCAGTGAAGCCTATTTTTGACAGCTGAGATACTCAAACTATCAGAGAGCCAGGCGCTGGCTATTACCCGTTTCGCCTCCGATGGCACGTGTGTGAAAAAAGAGGGGTTACAGAGAAAGGAGAGAAGGGGCAGATGGGACGACACCAAACCTCCCGAGTACTTGACCCCGTCCCATACCCGCAGAGAGTGCAGAGTGATAGGGTTAGTCAGTGACCTCCTGTCTTTAGGGGGTAACCAAAGAAGGTTCTGGGATTTGGAGGGGACTACAATCAACGGCTTATAATGCAACCCACAAAGGGTTTTCGGTGAGTGCATGCAATTTAGTAAGTTTGGAAATTTGGGCAGCTTGGTAGTACTTTGTAATGTGGGGGTCTAGGCCTCCAGCCATTCGGGGTTGGAATAATACGAACTGGAGATACGAGTCCTACAGCTCTGCCAGATGTATCGTAAAAGTTGACCCTGGAAAATTCGTAGATAGTGGGGAGGCACCGAGACTGGGAGCACCGAAAGAGGTAGAGTAATTTAGGGAGATAAGACATTTTAGCAGCCGCAATAGGCCCAACCAGGAGAGAGAGTAGGTGGACCAAATAGAAAGCAATGATTGAAGTTTACGACGGAGGGTAGTTGGCATCAAACAGGGTAAAGTAGTCCTTAGTGAGGAAGACTCCCAGATATTTAAGTTTTGTAGATTCCCAATGATAGCGGAAGGAAATTTGAAGTGTAGACAGTAAGGGCTGCGGGAGATTTATGTTAAGGGATTTAGATTTCAAGGTGTTGATTGTTACACCTGAGAGGGAACCAAATGAGAAAAGGAGGCTGTGGAGATTTGGCAAGGCGACAAGTGGGTTAGTGATTTTATAATGGTGGACTGCAAGGGGTAGACCCGTAAGGTTAGGGGAATTCCTAATAAGGTGTGCTAGGGGTTCGATGGACAGGGCAAATAGAAGCGGGGAAAGGGGGCATCCTTGGCGTGTGCCTCGGAGTATTGGAAAGGAATTAGAAAAAAAAACGGCGTATCTGGGGGAAGAGAAGAGTGCAGAGACCCAAGATCAAAAATGGGGTCCGAAGCCCCAGCGTTCCAAGAGGTGAAAAAGGAAAGGCCAAGAGAGGGAGTCGAACGCTTTACTAATGTCAAGAGATAGGAGCATGGAGGGTACCTGTCGCTTCCGTGCCGCTTGAAAAAAGTAGTGCAATCTTACGGATATTATCACTAGCCTGGCGAGTAGGCATAGAGCCCACTTGGTCCTTATGAATTAAGTCCCCTATCCCCGTGTTCAGCCTGGTTTCCATTATCTTAGCTAGAAGTTTAACGTCTTTATTGAGAAGTGAGATGGGCCTAAAATTAGAGGGAGAGGAGTTGTCCATAACAGGTTTAGGGATCATGACCACTGTAGCGGATAGAGTATCAGGGCGGAATAAATGGCCATTACAGATAGAATTAAAAGCTGCTCGTAGCAGTGGGATCAGCAGGTCAGAGTAATTCTTATAATAAGTAGCTGTGAAACCGTCCAATCCAGGCTTTTTAACAGGTCTTAGCGTTTTTATAGCCAATTTCAATTCCATATCGGTAATGGGGTCATCTAGGAGAGTGCGAAAAGTGTCTGGTAGTGGAGGGAGTGACAGCTCAGAAAGAAGAGGATCGTTTAAAAAGCGGGGAGGACAAAGGAGGAGTGGAATATAAATTGGAGAAGAGAGAGTGGAACATATCCACAATTTTAGCTGGATTGCTGGTGTAAGAGTCCCCTGAGCCTGTAAGGCGGTGACGTTGGGTCCGTTTTGCGGAGCCTAGAGGCTAGAAGGGAATCAGGCTTATCAGCCTTGAGGTAGAAAAGATGTTTCGTGCGTCTGATAGCTTCCTCCGCCTGGTGGGTAAGATGTAAGTTGAGGTTCAGATAAGCAGGGTCCAGGGCCGATTTGTTCAACAGGGTAGGCCTACGCTGGTAGAGGAGGGAGTGCTCATAGAATTCTCATTCCAGGTTATGAAGACGAGTGACATACTTATTTTTAAGGATAGAAGAGGTTTTAATACAATGCCCTCTCATCACCGCCTTGTGGGTGTCCCAAACAGTCAATGCAGTAGTGTCAGGGACACAGTTCAAGCTAATGTAATCCATGAGATGGTAACGGAGGGAGGCTTTTAAGGAAGAGTCGGAGAAGAGGGAGTCGTTAAATGACCAAGAAGGGGAAGCACCACTCGTTAGCAATGAGGACAGGGAGATCATAACGGCGGACTGGTCAGTCCAGGAAATGGGGAGAATGCAAGCGGGTGTAAGGGAAGAAAGTAGGGGAAGGGACAGAAAGATATGGTCGATACGAGAGAATGATTTATGGGGATGGGAGTAAAAGGTATAATCCTTTTCAGTGGGTGCAATTCACGCCAACTGTCAATAAGTGAGTGCCTAGCCAGAAGAGAGTGCAATGAGACTGAACGGGTAGAGAAGGTTGGGGCAGAGTCCGACCGGTCTAAGAAGGGAAACAGACCTGAATTACTATCTACGCAGAGGAGTACAGTGCCTTTCTGGTGATGCATAATCAATTGTAAAAGGTGGGTGAAGAATGGTAGTTAGTTTGTGTTAAGTGCATAATATGTAACTATGGTCACTTTGGTGTCATGAAGCATGCCCGTGAGGAGCAAATACCTCCCCGCCGGGTCCCTGATCTGACCGGATAAAAGGACACCAATGTCCTTTTTTAGCTGGCTTTCTGGCCAATCAGGAAGACCGGGGGCGGGTCATTACATGCCACCCGGCTTCCTGATTGGTCACCAGGGAGCATGGAGCTGGCCAATCAGGAAGCCGGGCGGCATGTAAGGACTCCACGTCCAGCTTGACGATACCTGAACTTCCAGTATCGGGAGCTCTTAGGCGAGTCCGAGTACTCACCCAAATACTTGGTATCGGCACCGATACTAGTATCGATATCGGTGCATCCCTAGTAAATTCTATTAATAGTAGCATGCCCTGAAACCTCCAAAATGCTTTCTGAAGAGCTTTCTATTCCAATGAATGCAGAGCAGGTCTGCTAGCTGCAAACAGTATTTGTTGGCAAAGAGCAGCTTGTTCACAGCAAAGCAGGATATCATTCAGAGTCAAGAGTGCAGGCCACAGTATTTTAAACGGAAGGTAGCCCATCATTCTACCAATTTTTTCTTCTCCATGAGGCCTCATATTTCTTATTGATATGCACTAATCCTTTAAGCAGATATACAATTTTAGGAAAAAAGGTTATGAATATGTTCATACATACATATATGACTAAAACTCTAAGTAATGGAAAAAAAACAT